TTTCTTACACCCTAGTCGCTTTTTTATAAATTTGAACTCATTCAAAAAATAATGATGTAATAATGTGTGCATACGACGATATATAGCTCTATTTTCTATACAATAATTTGTCCTAGAATTTAAAGATATTTTTTTAAAGATTGAAAAACTAAACAGCTGGATTGTGTTCAATGATTCTCATTATTTTTTTTCTTTGGTTTTCGTTTTAGGAATTTCTAAAAGAAAACATTATTTATTTTGTGTAATGGTTTGTAGTATCAAAGATTTTTTATTTAATTTGAAGACCACAGTAAAAAGTAAATTAGTGTTAGTTACACAAAATAAATAAACAACTCACAAAAATCAATCATCATTTCCTATCACAAATTGAATTACTGATATGATAATCTAAGATCTTATCCATGTAGTGTTACTATAATTTTTGTCTTGAATTATTTATTAATAAATTTTGAATATGTTGTTGAGGCTTGTAAAACATTACTTTTCTTTCTACAAGAGGAGAAGTAATAGAATCATCAAATTAAAAAGAAGGAAAAGGAAAGTACGCCAATTTATAAGATATGATGTTAAAAAATCTATTATCTTGATAAGATAAATTGCTTGTTAAAATCTGACTGACAATAACAAATTTAATTAAATATCTAAATTAAAAATAATAAATAATAAATAAATGATTTTTTTTGTTAATCATTTTTGTCGATCTAAATTAAATATAGACGTTAAATAAAAATAATAATCATTAGATCAATGTGCGATTTGAATGAGTTATACGTAAAAAGCAATATTTTGTCAACAGAATAATACTAATATTATTAAGAGTTGTCGATTTTTTTTTATTTCTATTCTTTCTTTTTCTGACCTCACCCTCGCTCAATTGCGCGCGCGTGTATTCCAACAAATCAATAAAACACTAACTTATTTTTTGAATTTGATTCGACAAATTCCGGCATTATTGTTCTTCCCATTATATTTGTATTTTTCAACTAAATATTTCTGGTAATAATATAGCACATATAAATTATCAAAATGTAGTATTGTTGATCGAGGATCTATGTGCATTTTGAAAAGCCATCATTAAAATAGTAACTCGTCATTTCCAACTCGGCAATCATTAATATTTTGCCAATAATAATAACAAATAATTTAGAATTAGTTTCATTGATTGATTCATTTACATAACAAATATTAATTAATTAATTAATTAATTAATTAATTGAAAAAAAATAATTAATTTCATCTAGTTAGCATTTACTTGCACATACATTATTACAAAAAACCATTTTTTTGACATTTACATACATCATTTTTTAATGAAAAAATAATTATTGTTTCCTTTTACTAATTAAAGATAATAATAATAAATAAAATAAAATGTTTCAGATGGTTGATGATGTTGTTGTTGTCGAGGACGATAGATGATGTTTGATTGATATTATAATTTTAAAATTATTTTAATTTAACTTTAATTTTTAACTTTAATTTTCCCATTTTTTTTTAAGTGGTAGTTTCATTTTGCATCATGATAACAATATTTTTTTCCATCTTATTGGCAAAATAAATTATTAAAGGAATTATTTTTTTTATTATGAATACGGTTTTTAATGGTCAATTTTAGTTTTAATAAATAAACACAAATAAAGATCATTACCATATATAATTATTACATCATCATTTTTATTTTTTTATTATTGATTCGACTTTTTTTTACTTTTCTCAATTCTTTTTTTAAATAAAATAAAAATAAACGCACCTCTCACACACGACCACCCTTCTTCTTTTCAATATTTTTTGTACTATAATAAAACTTCCCGTCTGCTAATAATTATTGTTATTTCTTTCTGCTGGTAAAGGAATCAATTTTTTCAAATATCATTAATTAATTAATCAACAATCAATCAATATTTTTTATATACAATTGATGATGATTAAATCAAATAATAATTTTTTTGGTGCATTAAAAAAGATCATGTACATATTATATGTATGTATGCGTGTATGTACTGTAAATCCCGAGTTTTTTTATATTGAAAAAAAAAAAAAAAAAAGAGAACTGAAAACAAAAAAAATTGATAATAAATAAAAACAATATAAAAACAAATATCCAATCGTTCGTTTAGTTCTATTTTTGTTTTTTGTTTTTATTTTTTTTATATTGATTTTTTTTTTTAATTAATTATGTAAAATGGTTCTGGACTACACCGTCGAACGAAATAAACATGAAATAATAAATAAAGTGGCGAAATATACAAATATTGAGTGGATGAAAATGTAATATTTATTTACGTTTTATTTATTTATTTATTTATTAAAATTAAAATAATAATTAAAACAATTTAATTTTTGTTTCGACGTCATTAACGTCATCAACTTTCATCATTATTTTCTACTATCACCGCCACAACCATCATCGTGGCCGTTTTTTATTTATATTTGTTACACCTTTGGTCATATTCGGCTTTTTTTTCACACCAATTAATTTAATAATATAGATAATCTCTGATGATGATCTACTTTAACCAATATTAATATATTAAAAAGATGCGTGTGTGTGATACATTGTGGACGAACTCTCTCTTTCTCTTTTTAATTTTAATAATTGGTCCTTCTATCTTGTATGATCTGGGTCACCATACAAATATAATATCAATCGATCATAAATAGGTAATGATTGATAATGATTAATTAATTAATTGTTGGTATTTTCCCGATAATTATGGTGTGTGGTTGGAGGTAATGGTAATGGTGATGGTAATAATAATATTTATTATATTTGTGGTAAGAAAATAACTGCTAATTATAACAGATAGTAATTAAACCATATTATGATCAATTGTGTAAACAATTAAGAAGTCTTAATAATTAGTATGTGGAGAACATTTAGTATCATAATAATGAACAACAACAACAACGACAAATTTATAAAAGTCATTTAAAGTCTTACAAAAAAAAATTTTTTTTTTAACAATAGCAATAATTATTAATGATTAAACAAGTTTATATTTATAAATATTTTTGAATAAATCCTTTTTAAATCAAAGTTATATTTTGAAACTAACATGTAATTAATTGTTTGTTAAACAGAGAGTGGGAGGGAGAGAGTGAGGGGAGAGAGTGAGTGAGTGAAAGAGTGAAAGAGAGAGAAAGAAAATATTTTGTAAAAAAATTAACATATGACAGACAACAAACCAATGAAAGATCATCAACATTTTTTATTTTCAACTTCTTTCAACAACAGAAAAAAATAGACCATCATCATGTAGGGAGGATAAATAAAATGTACATTACATACACATACATGTCATAATATTATTGTTTATTTTTTTAATGCGTCTTTAAAATTTGTTTATTTAGTAAATGTGTGATATGTGTGTGTATGTGTGGAATCATTATTATTATATGAAAAACAAAAAAAACAAAAAAACTTGTTCAATTCAAGTTTAATGTAACTTTAAATTTAATGATGAATGGATTTTTTAGAAAAAAAATTTTTTTTATTGAATCCAAAAATGATAAATTTATTATTATAAACATCTCAATTTTTTCAATTCTTTCTTTGTTAAATTCTTTTCATATGATAAAATTCTTTATGATTGGTAATTAATTGATTAATAAAAGCTAAACAAAAACCTAATCAGAACACCAATTCTTTTTACTCGCTCACTCGCTCTCACCTTTTTTGTTTTTATTTTTATTTATTTTTTACCGCCAAAAAATAAATAAACAAAAAATATAATGTGACACTATCTATTACTTTCACCAAATTAATGTATTTTTTTTTTGCAATTACAAAAGAATACAATTGATTTATTTGCTATAAGTGTTATATATATTATTATAGTTAAATTTTTCATGACAATAAAAAGAAAACAAAAGACGCGCGCATTTTGATTAAAATTTAGTCGAAGAATTTCTTGTCGCTGTTTTTTTTACGTAATGCCAATAAACTGTAGTTCCGGACTTAATATTAATACAAAAATTCAGATTTTATTAAATATTTTAAATAAATAAATTGTAGATTATGTGACTGTAACCACAGCAAATTATTCCATTACTTTTCTACCCATCAATTTCTCTTTATCAATGTTCTCTTATCTATTTATTTCTTTAATATACATTATATATAACAAATAACAAAATTTTAAATCACATGCTTTATGTAAATCATTTAAAAAAAAATCTCTCGAAAAATTTTTTGTACAATAAAAAATTTGAATAGATTGAATATATTTTGAATTTATAAATAATCATATATAGTAGAAATAACATTTTTTATTATCACGACACTATTAAAAAAAATATATGAAAAAAGGGCCAATACATCATATCAAAGTAAATTATAATAATAACAATAATAATAATAATTAATATTAATGTTGTGTATTAATATAATAAATCAAATAGTTAGTGAAGCTTTAAAACCAATTGATTTAGAAATTATCAATGAATCAGATTTACATGCTCATAATCAAGCTATGAAAGATGTTAGTAGTAATGAAACACATTTTGGTAAGTTAGATAGATATATATATATATATTAATTGTAATTGTAATAAGAATTGAATGA